TTGTGTGTATGTGTGTGTGTTAGTTACTGAGGACTGAACCCAGGGCCTTGTACATGCTAAGCAAGTGCTCTATTATTGAGCTACACCACAGCCCTTTATTTTATTTTGAGACAGGGTCTCACTAAGTTTCCCAGGCTTGCATTGAAATTGTGATCCTCCTGTTTCAGCCTTTCAAGTGGTGGGAGTACAGGCATGTGCAACCCCACGCAGTTGGGATATTGTGTTTTTATTCAATGGATAAATGTTCGGTTGACAACATACCACTCCTTACCAGCATCCTCATCTCCACTGTCACTCTTATCTCAGTGAATGGGACAGTCATTCATCATACAATCTCTCAAGCATGAGGCTTGGTAGCTTTCCCTTTATGTTATTCTCTGTCTTACTCAGAAACACAATAAATCTAAATGCCAATTGTCACTCATCACCACTACTAGGGGGAGGATTAGTGCTAGGGATTGATATAGGACCTCATGCATAAGCATAYGCTCTAGTACTGATCTTCCCTAACAGCCCCCTCAACATCACTATTGATAATCCACTCCTTGAGTCAAAACCACCAATGCAACCAACTCAGATTTCTTATCTGAATTGATATAACAAAATCTCCATCTCATCTCGAATCTTCTAGTTTGTTTTTCAAATGTGCCACTCCTTGCTTAATTTCTCTAAAATTAACTTTAGTTTCTTCTTCAATGACATCAGGAAAATGCTGAACTTCTCATATTTCTGATCAGATCCTTCACCACCTCTGCAGATAGATTAGTTCTAGACTGATGACTAAAAACTATCCTTAGGACTGTTATGCTCCAATTGCATACTGAACTAAGCCTTTGTGTTACTGCTTCCTCTCCTTATAATAGTACCTTTCTTCTTCCATCTTTCTGTTTGGCTAACTAATACCCATCTGTGGGGTTGCAGAACAGATGCCACTTTATCTTCAGATCAACTTCTCTGATCCAATCAGTTTAGGTAGATAATACCTCCATGTGCTCCACAGTTTTATGCACAAGCAGAATTGTGTGGGCCCTTGGCCACAGAATGTCTGGAGCACAGTAATCAAATAAGGAAAATTGACTTTCGCCCAGTGGGGATTAAATTCTCTTCCTTGGAAATCTGAGTTAAGAYGCAAGAATGCAAGTGCCATTTGGTGGTTGGTTTTGTGACTTAGAGAAATGATGTACAATTGGAGATTAAAATCACTTATAATTACAGTGAGCAAAAAAAGCTTTTGGAAAGAACAGAAGAACTAGTACCTTAGGAGGGGAGGAAAATTCCCCTTATTTCTTGATCACTAAAGTCTAAGTACTTGAATCCTGACATTTCTGTAAGAATATGTATCCTCAAAACATCATTCTTATATTTAGCACCCTTTCAAACATACACACACACACACACACACACACACACACACACACACACACAAAGTCTGTCTTAATTTCTTTTCTGTGATGAAGAACTGCTCTTGTCTGGGTGCAGATAGGAGGTATCCTCTCGCATGCATTCAACACACTTGCACTCTCCTTTTGTCTGTTCCAGGAGACTCACTGAGATATCAAAGTTGGGTAGTTCTTCATCTTTGTCTTCCTGGGACTTACTGTAATACCCAGCATGCATTTGTACTCAAGTGTTGGAAAAATAAATGAGTAGAAAAGTGAATGAGAAACCTCCAATATTCAGTAATATGGGCTACTTTTAAAGGATGATTTTGTTCAAAGTCAACTTAAAGATTAAATAGCACTTACTCCTTCTTTACCATCATAATAGAAGCTGTCCCACCTATTAAGATGAAAACCTAAGAGTGTGGGGGACAGGGTCAGTAAGGTAGAGTTGATGTAATTCTTCCAAAYGACTGATAGAATACACAAGCCTCCTATAAAAACATTTTGGTTCCAGCAAAAAGTGAACTTTAAAATGAGCCCAGGCAGAGTTTTTAAGACATCCTGTCAGGCCAGAAATGCTTTGTCTGCTTTTTAGGAGAAAACATGAAGGAATATGGCATATTGCATGTGTGGCTTGCAGGAGGATTGTTTGTAGATCCTCTCAATGAACTTTCTAAGCACCTACATGAAAATCACAAACACAGCAAAGAATACAATGAATAAAAGTACATTAACATTCTTTAACTTGTTGGGAAGCTCCATATCTAGTCTTTATCTGGGCAATCTGCCCTCAGACTTCCTTCTACCTTAATGTACTCCAGAGAAACCCAACCTTGGAGAACCATTTTTTTTTTTTTAATTCTTTAGGCTTGGCTGCTGTACCATGAAGTTCTAATTTCTATGAATCCAAACACTCATTTACTCTCAAGTAATGTTAGCTCTCAAGGGTCAAATTAATTTTTAAAAAATTCATAGTGTAATTCCAAAGCAATAAAAGAGGTTTTCTTTTATTCTTATGGCTATTTTTGTTGGATCTATAATGTGATTGTTTGGCCATCTATACAAAACCCCAGGTTAATATTCGAAGCAAAGTCACTTTTAAATCACAGATTGATTACATTAATATCACCCTTTGCTATTTGTACTTATTTTATGTTTTAATTCTTACAATGTCTTTGTTCTAAGAACAGACTGTTGTTTTTATTTTAATAAATGTTGAGAAGGTAAGGAAGGAAGGGAGGAAATTTGAGATGACATTTTTCATTTGAATTCTTCTGTGTCTTCTCAACTTAAATAGTTCAAGATAATGTGAATCTCATACTTCTATTACATTTTYAATACTTGTCCAAGCACTCTAGCTCTGTGTACCATCCTCCAAGTCTGAAAATATCATGCCCCAGTTCTATATACTTATTCTTCTTTATTCTTTCTATGGGGAGCCCTCTCAACTGACCTTCAGTCAATTTCTCTCACTGGTAAAATTACTTTTGCACAACAGCAACTTTCTGAAAGCATCACCTCATCATAACAGACATGATTCCGTAAGCTCCTTTTATATAGCACATAACATTTAGCTTAGTCTTCATTTATGATATCCCATGAAATCTGCCTTGCACCCTCACTTTCATACATCTTAAGCAGAATATAATTCAATTTGCCTATTTGATAGTAAATTTAAAAAACATGATTTAATCTCCCCATTATATGTAAGTGGCCACATATAATCATGGCCAAGACCAAAGATTAGGTGTGTAGAAAAATCTTACTAAATTGAGGAATGGGAGACTGGAGCTTAAGTCAGTGGTAGAATGCTTGCCCAGCATGAATAAGGTCCTCATTTAAATTCTTGGAGCTTTAAAAATAATTAATATTGAAATTTAAAAATTAGAGAATATTTAAATTCAGTCAACTTCTCAATAAGAGTTCTAGAAAACAATATTCTAACTGACTGATATTCTAAATTTTTTTTTAGAAATAGAGTTGCTAGCAGTTGTGTGTGTGTATATATATATGTGTGCATGTGCATGCGTGTGCACGCGTGCATATACACACATTAGTAGCTGATTTAAACATATATAAGATCTATTTATAAAAAGTAAACATCTCTTCTGGGTTTCTTCTTCATTTGTGAAAAAAAGAATTTCTTATTAATATATATTCATTGGAGTCAGTTAAATATAATTACTAATATTAATATTTTATAATATAAATCAAAATACAAGATTATGATGAAAACTTGGTGACTATTGAACCACATTCTGAGAAAAAAAATCTAGCTGTTTTCAATTTAGAGAATGTCAGGTTTGAAAAGGCAATGTAAAGCAAAGCAGAAAGCAGAAGTGGAATTCTTAAGAAATATTTATTACACAAAGTCTTTGAATTTTCAAAATGTGTTGGGTCCTTCCATGTGTTTCTATGCAAGTTAATGCAATTGTGTTGTACTTGGTTGCATGTCACCCTACCACTCCTCAACTATCACCACCAAGGAAGAATTTCTAATCTAAAGAGAGTCTAGATCATGGATAGAACAGTGAGTGAAGGCATGAATCTGTTGAGTGCCAATTTACCAGCCTACTTACTCCTTTCAATGTGCTGTTGTAATTGAAGAGTTGTGTTTCCTTCTCACAGGTCACTAAAATCTGAAGTGGTTTCATGGTCCACCTCCCACAGTCCCTGAACTGAAACAAAGTATTCTAATTCCATAAGGAAGTTTAGAAGATGAACTCAGGCATCACAGTGATGCTTCATGTTCCTTTGCCATTATTTCTTGTATGCTAAACTCTTCAGCAAATCACTGGATAGAAAAGGTGATTCTGTTTGGTGATAAGACTTGATATTCACTGTTCCCAGCCAAAGGCTTCCCAGTGTTTTTCATGCTGTGACACACAAATAAAATGATAAAGTTTATATTCCCTGTGAGAAATTACATGGATATGAGTGCCTGCAAGTAGTTTTGTGGAAGAAAAAAGAAAAATTGTAATTTCTAAATATTATGTAAAATGAAATGTAAATTATTGGGGGGAAAGAGTAAGTATTATGTGCAAAACACTCCTCACTAGAATTTCAAAGTCTGGATGTCATTCAATGTACTCAACAGCTGCAGAAGCAATATTAAATACTTTCCTACATTTTAATAAGAATTTTAGGTTGCTTCTATAATAACCACTTTTCTATTAAGTTAGCTATGCTTTAAATTATTATACATAATTTCTAACCAAGATGTTTTCATCATAATTCTTTCAATGTCTTGTTAGTTTCCTTTGATGAGATTTTTTTCAAACAAGCCCATGATCAGAAATGTTAAAGCTTATCTTTTACAGCCTTTCAAATTTTACAATAGTTGAAATTGTCACTAAACTTCTTGTGATAATGAAAAAATATTTTAAATCCAATAAAAATGGCAATATTTCAAAATAAGAATGAGGCTCTAATGTACAACAGGCATGCACTGTTAAAATAGCTGGCTAGGATACCAAGAATGGGCAACATCAGCCATGAATGAATGCAGATGGTAAGTACATAAGACCACACATTTAGGTCACAGCCTGGGGCGAACTAAGCCTTCCAGGAGCCACTGCCCAGCCACCCCCAGCCCTCTCTCCCCACCGCTGGCCGCACCTTGGGCTGCAATCTGTGCTCCTTGGGCACCTGGACCACGAACTCCTCTGGCAGCTCCACGAGGCCCTTGTCCACGATGAGCAGTAGCACGCTCCGCAGATGGCTGCTGAAGGAGATGTCTGGGTGGTAGAGCGCCTCCTGGGCTGCGCTCAGCATGTCTCAGTGCAGCAGCAAGGGCTGGATGTCTCTCACTGTGCTTGCCACCTGCGGGGACCGCAGGGCGCACCATCAGACCTGGCTCAGCTCAGGCCAGCCTTAGAGGAGCCCTGGTAGTGGCTATCCCCAAGGCAGCTCTCAGCTGCAGGCTCCTGCCAGGACTCCAGCCACCCAAGGCCCCTCTCTGACAGCCCTGGAGCTAAGGCAATCACATCATGGCCTCTAGGGTAATACTTTTCTAGTTAAACACTATTTTAATTAAGACAAAAATTCTTATATTAATCTCTAACAAAGACAGAAAATTGAACATAAAGATTAAAAGCAGAGTACACTACCTGAAATATAAATGTTATTTATATTTTTATAGATTCAGAGCATTTTGATATAAATTATGAGCACTAGTATCTGTGTAAGTGTAAGTAAAATTATTAGTAACTGAACTCAATTTTACACACTCAAAAGAAAGCTTGAAAAGGGGCAAAAATGTTTCAAAATGTGCTTTTTTGTTTATTTGGTTTTGTTTGTGTATGGTTACACTTAAATGGATTGTTTTATATTTATTTATTATGTTTTTCAGGTCACTTAACTAAAATTTTTGAAATATATTGTTTTAAGAGGTATGAAGGACATTAAAGTAAAAAAAGATATACATACATATTTACCAGTTATATACACAATGATTTTTACTGACAAATGGTACATATTACATAAATGAATAAATATGGAAGACCATGACAATAATGAGAAAATAAAATTTTACACATGATTTTTATAAATAATTCACAAGCAGTCATATATTTAATGCTATGAAAACTAAAACTATTTAAGTACAGGGTTTCTTTCTGGCAAATTGATATACAAAATATACATTTCTCTACACTATTTGTAATTAATTTAGTAAGTAGTAATAATAATTAAAATGTACCTACCAATGGAAGATAAAGAATTTTACAAAGAAAATTATTTTATTCTATGCAAATATTTCTAAGATATTATAACATGTATATTTAAAACCACATTAATAAAGCTACATCACTAACATTTAACAGTCAGAAGAGAAACTAAGAAAATCAATAATGTAAGATCATTRTTCTAACACAAGTTCATGCAGTGATTCTATAATGTCTTGATATTTATATTTACAAATTGAGAATAAAAACATATCCCTTCAAATCACATGAAATGACACAGCTTTATAGAAAAAAATATTAAGAATTTTGTTACACAACACATTTATGATGGAAAATTTTATAATGTAAGTCTGAGATACTGCCCTGAAACAACTTTATAAATTTAAATTCATGGTATTGTTACTAATATATCCATTGCATTGGCAATCTGAATGACAGTTTGACAGCCTATGTGAAAGAAAAGGAATCAAAGAAAACCAAGTTTCAAGACCAAAAAAAGTTATGAAAWTTGAAATCTCTAAGTAATACCTTTCTTTGACATTTCATTCTAGTATTTTCTTTCATCTTTCCTTCAATGGTATCTTTTCTAATTTTTTTTTTTAACTTCTAGAGTATCCCTTTCCTAACTGCCCAAAAAGACCGTGTAGCATTTTAAAACTATTTTTTTACATGAATACTTACAGGAAGGTTTCCCCTAAAATTTTAAGATATTTATGGAAAGTAATTAGTGAAAGTGAATTAGAATATTACTTGCACAATTTTCAGTTACAATTTTGTTGAAAGAATTAACTCTCAGCCAAGTTAACTTACATGCACATTTGGAGTGATGGAGCATGTGCTTATGTGTTTATTCATTCAATAAATATTTACTAAATTCCATTGTGATAGGTCCTCTTCTAGCTGCTGAAGAGTTTGGTAAACAAAATAAACAACATACCTACCTTAATGAATTACACATCTAGTGGGGGAGATAGACAATGAATAAATACAGATAAATAATAAAAATACCATACAGATACGATAGTAATCTTCAGAAAATGTCAGGAAAGTAATATACAAAGGCTACTATAGTTGGGTTTTTAAGGAAGACTTAATCTATGGGGTTAAAATTAAAGCTGAAATTTCAGTGAAATTCAAAATTTCTAGCCAAACAAAAATCAAAAGAGCACTGCAGGCTATGCAAAGGTCTCCAAGATGGAAATATACAGGTCTGTTCAAGAAATAGTACAAAGGACAATGTGGAGAGGCATAGTGGTTAAAGAGAATAGTCTGAAATAAGGTTGGAGCAAGCAACACCAGATTATTTGATCTATAAAGCAGACTCAAGAATTTAGTGTTTAAAACATCTGTTTTAGGACACTTAATAAAACTCTAAGGAAGAAAGTGTAGGTAGTACATGATAGGGAAAGACATAAAAAGGAATAATAATTTCCATTGAACTAGAGATAAACTATTTCCAGGAAAGGTCAATTTTTAGAATAAGCAGACAATGACAATAGAGTTAAAATGCATCTACAATAGAATTAAGCATCAGCTGGCAAATACAACCATGTCTGTATTTAAATGAAGGAAACTTAGCATCCAGAAGAAATAAGAACATGCTCTAAATAGAACTAGAAARCAAGCTCCAGAAAGAATGTTTATATCATGGAATAAAATAATTTCACGGAGGGAGAYGGAAGCACACAAAATACCAGGAAGTTGAGTAAACTTATAAATTGGACTCTGACAAGTTCTATGAAAAGTGCTCTAAAACATTGTTTGTGTCTACAGATTTTATGCACTTAAATTCACCAATAATATGAAAGAAACCCAGAGGCACTGGTTTGTGACTGCCAGAACAGGAAGGACTGTCTACAGGGACTAGGGCTGTTAGAGCCTCAAATCTTAACTTCCATTTAAAAAATTCTTGCATATGCTTCTGTTAAGATATTGTATGACTCCTGGGGAAACATTTATTTTGTCTTTCTGGAACTATTATAAAAATAGCTTCAACAAAACTCTTCAAGATAAATATCACATTTAAAAATATAGTATTCCATGAGAAATATGTAATTTCAGAGYTGGAAAGATTCTTCTGGCTCCCATACTAGATGATAACCCCTAAAAATTCCTGTTAAAAAGATACCCAAACTTCTTGTGAAGAGGCTGTGAGCAGAAGGATAGAYCCTTTGGCTATGCCTTCATTTGAAGCAGCATATTTCCTCAGTTCAAGAAAGGTGATAATCATGTGTGCCAAGTTCTTTGTCACCATTATGGTGGTGATTGTTAATATATTTGCCCCACTGAATGTCACTTGTCACCTAATTTACATGTGCTTGTTGCTTCCTGGGTTCTCAGGTACCTGACAACCACCTGCTGACCAAGGTTCCTGTTGATTCTAAATTTTAGGGCGCCATAGAGTTCCACTCATGCATGCTTTTCCCCTTTGCCTAAGTCAGAATTTACCTGTGAAAGTTACTGACAATTACTGGGATTATRGTTTAATTCCTGAGGATCAGTAACAGCTTTTAATATTGTATGCAAAATTGTTTTGTTGGTACAGAGGTCTTCTAGGGGGAAGACCCCAATCTTCAGATTCTCTGGTAATTCCATTAACAAAAAAAAGACTCAGGAATAGCATCTGTTTTAATTTTCTGTTTCATTCTATAAGTGAATCTCGTGTGTGTGTTGTGAAAAATGTCAAAATCAAAGTGAAGTTTGTGTCAACCCTAACAAAAAAATAAACCCACGAGGTTATGAAGGAAAAAAAAAAAAAAAGAAAAGAAAGGTGATATCTATTCTCTAGCATTTCCCACCCACTTGTYTAAATTCTGTATATGGCCTACAAAAACAAATCACACTTCTCCTGGAGGGTACTTTTSTTCAGGTATCTGAAGAAAGACTTTACATACTAGGTATGTTTCTTCTCCAGACCTTTAAAGAAAAGTATTTTTTTTTCAAACAATGAAAAACATACCCAGCATGTGGCATTTACTATAATTTGGAAGCAATGCTTCCTGTCATTTTCTCGCTCCCTTCTCCATGTGAGACCAGTTTCAAACCCTGTTGTACAGAGTTTTTTTTTAATGTGTTCAAGGTAATTTTGATTCTGGAACAGGAAGTGATAATAAGGCCAATGTGTCTGGTTGTTTCTTTGTGCCCTTCTTCATAGAGAAACTTCATTCCTGTTATAAGAATTGAATATCTAATAAAGATTTCATTTGAATAGATTGGGGAATGTGCTTTTTAAAATTGGAATTGCCTTAATCATAGAGAATGTTCAGTTCTCATTATAGGTAATATGAATTATTGTTATATCCATATCTTCCACACAATCAATTCGTACTGAGAAATTTTTATAGTTAAAACAACTTCATTTTGCTTTCCTAATGGGCAAGTGCATGAAATATGAAAAGTATTATTTAATAAGTAACTGAATTGATCGAAATAAACAAAATACCTGTGTTTAATGTATAGTTTTGCAAACATCAAAGGCCATCAGAGTATGAGTTTCAGAATGTTGATTATATGTGAACAAGAGGCAAAAAGGAAAAACAATAAGTGTTTTAAGACATAAAAGTATTTTTCATGGTAGTACCATAGTGATCATATTATCTGTAAAACATATAATCAAAACAAATAACAAAAATATCACAACTCAGTGATATATGCTTTCAGAGACAAACAYTGATTTATAAGTAATAATAATTTTAAATAAGCACTGTTTCTAAACAATTTCTGCTGTTTCTGTTTTGTTTTTCTCCTTAGATGAGGACTCATATAATCCAATTATTCAACATCTTCCTTCAAACAGATACTGATCATAACAGTGAACATGAAGTATCTGTAAAATACTGGGGTACAATACTAAAATACTTACAAGAAATGCAAACAAGACAACACCATATCATGTTTCTCAGAGTTACAAGTGATTTAAATTTCATAAACCGAGAATGTTTCCTATAAATCACTTATTTTTGTGTTTCTAGGTAATATTTTATCATGTCCCCCTCCTCCCCTGTCCAGCACTAGGGAATGAAATGATGGTTACTCTACCACTGAACAACATTMCCAGCTCTTTTTTTAAATTTTGAGACAGTTCTCCCTTTGTTGCCAAGGATGGCCTTAAACTTTTGTAGTTGGGATTGCAGGCAT